AATAAATACAGGAAATTATATTTTTTTCTGGTAGTTTTTCCACAAGAAGAAAATTTTTGTTTTATGGAAAAATGGGCTATTTTTTGTTGAAAAACTACCAGGAAAATGTATTTTCTTCATAATATACATTTATTTGATCTGATAATGTTTTAAACTACTTTATTCAAGTTTTTTTTTATTTCTGCTGTACAGTCCACAAAATGTGATTTTTGGAACCCAGTCATGTCAGTGTAAGTATGTGTTTTAATGTTGGGTTTATGAGCTGTTTGTACAATGTCAAAAATGTCTTAACCCAGTAAAACTRGTAAGTCTTAGATGTCCCAGCTTTTCACCAGCCTTGAACGCAGAATTACATGTGTCACTCTGCAGTGGTAAGAAAGTCTCGTTCAAAAGCGAGCTGATCCCATGYTCGTGTGTGTGACTCTTATTGTGCACACTTGAGTCATGTTGAGACTAATTTATCTCCATAGACAACTGCTCTATGACAGAGTAACTTGAAGTTTCCAGCAAGTACAATACACAGTAGTAACCAATTATCACAGAACGACATTGTCATTAGAAACATTAAAACTGTAAATATATATACACATATTTCAGCTCAGCTTACACTTGAGCTGAAGTCAGAAAAATAAAATTAAAGTTTAACCTGGTTGCTTCTGTTTCTGTCAGCTTGTCTGTGCAATCATTAGTTAGAAACACAAAAAAACGAAGAGATCTGTTTTTAACTTTGATTTCAACAGGGACCAAAAAAGGCTTTCAGACAGCTTTTAAACTGTCTTTGAATGCGTCTACCGTACTGCTCTTTATATCTCTAACTGTGCCTCTAACATACCCACACTGTCACGCTGAGATCTGCTTTCCTAATAGCAGACTTTGTGCAGGCTTTACATGTCAAACGTCTATACAGATCRTAACTGATGGCCACTGACAGAGAAGCGCTTGACTTCAGCAAGTGACACTAACTCTTGAAATTAGAGTTGGAGAAGTGTGCAGGCATTCAAACAGCAGTGTGAACAAGGCCCCAAAACTGGGTTATTTAGAGTGGACAGTGAAAGACGCGGCATGATGTATGCCTCATACTAAAGTCCAGATTCAGCCATCTATTAGTGCACCCGAGTGTCAAATCATAACAGATTGTAAATACTTAACTTTAGCTTTTCTTTTTCAGTTTACCATTAAAGTAGTCAGTAGAACAAACTAATTTAGGTTAGGTGTAAGACTTAAATACTAGGGTAGTCAGGTTTATTTTGGTGAATCTGGCCCTCAGTACAGTYTGCCGACAAAAAAAGGGAGCAGGGCAAAGAGCTTCATCAACAAGCTAAAACAGATTCAAAATACAAATGTTGTTTTCCTTACCTTGGGTCCTTTTGGATGCTGTCTACTGAGGGAGATCGACCCAGAGCAGCTTCAGGTGGAAGGGCAGGGCCCGACTTGCTGTAAGGTGACTCAGTTGATGGGCAGAACTGCAGAGTGCGGTACGGGTTGGCGTAGTCAGCGGCCCCACCTCCTGTAGCAAAGCTGCCTCTCTGAAAGGTGGCGGTGGCGCTCTGACTTCCCGTTCGCTGCAAGGGGATTGGATCAACACTGGGGGAGGATGGGGCTAGAGGAGTGTAAGGATACAACAGATAGTTGAGGACTTCTTGGTACAGTTGGTTCACCACTAGGGGTTTGAATAGTAACGTATGAAGGGGATGAGTAGTGAAGGGAGACAAAACAAATCACAACCAAACACAAACCCAACCCAAGGACACAAATGTAGAAGCAGGAGTARCAGAGAAGCAACAACATGGCACCAGTGGACAAAAAGGGAAAAAAATAAGTCAAAATAAAGAATAATGAAAATAAAAAAAAACAAGTCATAAAAACGAACTCATAAAACATTGCAAAGACAGCTTTACCAGAAAAGTCTGCAAAACTATTTAAAACACACAGAAGAATACTTTTTTTCTTTTGAAAAAAAAATATTCACATTTAACAGAAAAACTATGATGGAGTATTAGGGGCGGACTACAAGATTATTATTATTTTTATTACGAGGATGAAGTTATAATACTACATGAAAAAAAGTTGTACGACAATTACAAGAATAAGTCATATTACAAAAACAAGGTCATATTATTAAAAC